GAGCCCTGAGTTTGGATGCTGCATCACATACTAACCTAAGTCACTAACCTCTTAGCCTCAATTTCTTTATTTGTAAAATGGGAATAATAACACCTACCTTATATAGGGTTATTGGGAAGATAAAATCAAAACAGATGTAAAGTGTTTTGCAAACCTTAAAATACAATGTTACTGTTAGCTTTCTTCATCATCACCACCACCATCATCACTAAGTTTTGCTGGCTTTGTGTCATTTCAGTCATACCCAACTCTTCAAGATCCCATTTGAGCTTTTCTTGGCAGAGATATTGGAGTGGTTTGCCATTTCCATCTCCATCTCATTTTGCAGATGAGGAACTGAGACAAAGAGGGTTAGGTGACTTGCTCAGGGTCACACAGCTAGGAAGTGTATGAGGCCATATTGGAACTCAAGTCTCTCTGACTCCAGGCCTGGTGTTCTATTCACTGTGCCACGCAGCTGCTCTTGCACCAACATAAAGTATAGTAAATGTTAAATCAGACTAAACAGGTAGGAGGTGACCATTTTGCAGAGGACCGTGTGCAAGTGCTAGTGGGAGAAACTGAAGACTTCTGGGTAGGGATCGTATCTGTGTTTTAGGACTAACAGCTTGGCAGCTATGTGGAAGGTAGATTAGGAACAGTAGAGCCATTATGCAGGGGGTCCCATCAGGCAGGCATCTTTTTTTTTTGTTTTGTTTTGTTTTGTTTTTTTGTTTTTTGTTTTTTTTGTTTATGTTTTGACTAGGCAATGGGGTTAAGTGACTTGCCCAAGGTCACACAGCTAACAAGTGCTATGTGTCTGAGGCTAGATTTGAACTCAGGTCCTCCTGATTCCAGGGCTGGTGCTCTATACACTGTGTCACCTAGATGCCCCCAGGCAGGCATCTTGATCCTCCAGGGGCGAGGTGATCAGGATTTGACCTGCGGAGGGTGGGTGGAAGACTTTGAGTAGAGGGGACACATGGGAGAAATGTTGGGGAGGTGAAATCAGTAAGACTTGGCTGCTGCTAATGACCGGACCTGCCTTTGTACATCTCTAAAGCACTCTGTGCTTGGGTTTGGTTTTTGGTTTTTTGGTCCCCTTGATATGACATCTCACTTAATCCTCAAAATAAATGCATATGAAAGTACTTTGTACACATAAAGACCGATATAGATGTGAATTATTATTGTTCCTTCTATGTTCATGAAATAAACAGAAACAGGGGATGTGAAAATGACATCATTTACCCAACCTAAGCCAAAAGACGCAAGTCAAACTATCATGAGAACCTATGAGCTGTACCAGCTCATGCCTCAAGCCATGATGAGGAAGAGGGAGAATGGAGCCAGCAGCTTCTTTCTCAAACTACCCTGTATTGAAGCATTTTGTATTTATTTCCATTATCATCTTTCTTTTTGTTCTCAATATGCATATATTCATATGTATGAATAATATATGTATATAAGCACATATGCATATATGTGTGTACACACACGCACACGCACACGCACACATCTTTTCCATTAGAATGGAAGCTTCTTGTGAGTAGAGACCTTTCATTTGCTACATTTGTGTCATGGTACTGAGCACATAATAAGTGTGTTCACATAAAAAGATGTTGTTCACGTTTCATTTTTGAAGATGACCAGTGACATCACGGAGTGCTGTCTTGACTTGGGAATGAATTGGATTTAAGTGAGGCAGATTTGCACAGTTGTCAGCCTCACTGTTTCCTCCAGAGTCACTGAAGTCCAGTGGCAAGACAAAAGTCAGAATGACAGTCAATGGCCCTGGGGGCGATGGATACCATGGCATCTTCCATGTCTGACCAAGCTCTAAGCTGTCCTTGTGGCCATTGGAACAAATTGTTCTCATCCACCCATTCCACCAGGGTAACTCTGCACATGATTGGGGTAGGCATCCCCCCAACTCACAGAACACCCTACATACCAGAAATGCTAAATAAATGTTTAATTGATTGAATTTTTTTGTATCAGTCTTTTCTCAGGTTGGTGCCCTCATTACGTCTCTTGCTCATCCAGAATACACCTATTCTTCTAGACTTTCAAAGACCTTCTTCAAAGACTTATTTTCCCTATCTATTCCAGCCCATACACATCTCTCCCTTCCTCACACAACTTCAAGTCAGCATTATTTATGGAATTATTATTACTTGCTAGGTGCCAGGGGAGGAAAGAATTGCTGACCTCAAGGAGCTTACATTTTGTTGAAAGGAAACAATGTATAGGATAGGAGTAGGGACTAGATCTGTGATTTATTGGTATAGAGAATTTGCGGATAAGGAAACTACCTTTATTAATGCAGAATAGCACAATAGCTCCACAAGTAAAATAAATACACGGTAAAACGAGGAGGAGGAAACACCTTCCAGACCTGAGAGGTTAGTGAAGGGTTGGTGGAAGCAGGGGCAGCACCTGAGAGGTAGAGATAAGGAGCCTACCTTTGTATTTCAGGCACAGAGGTGGGTGGAATGTCATCTGTGATGAACAGCTCCTCCCGTGGGGGGAGGGGATAGTAATTGGAATTTTTGTCTGAAATTTAGCATTTCATTGTTCTCTTCCTGTCAGTTTGGTTAGTTGCCTACGTTTAGCCTACAGTCTCTCTGGGTGGCAGTGGTGCAGGGATCCTCCCTGCTTCTATATAACAGTGCACTCAAGTTTTCAAAGCTGATTATGTACACACAATTTCATTTGCTCTTCATAAGAATCCTGTGAGATAAGAATAAAGGCTATTATTCCTATTTTACAGACGAGGAAACTGAGGTTCAGAGAGCAAATGGACTCCTTCCCTCTGGATGGATTTGAACCTGAGTCCAGTCCTCTCCTATAGGAGATAGCATCTTATCTTACCTCAGGTATCCTCCTATTGTCTGCCTATAGGCCACCCCTGGGGCAGAGCTAGTCCAGGGCTCCACCCCTGGGAAGAACTCAATAGATCCATGCTGATGGTTGGATAGATTTGGTGGTGGCCTTTCCTAGTAGGTCTCCGCAGTGCTTTGAGAAATCTGATCCTAAATCCTCTGGTTTGCCTGGGGTCAGGGTAGCTGCATTTCCCAGCCTGCTGCACCAGGAAGCTGGGACTGATTCAAGATTGTTGTTTCACTCTTTGAAAGCCTAATTAATTAATACATTCATCATCTACCCGGACAAATCACTTCACCTTTTAAAGTAGACAATTCTTATTTTGGAGTGTTCAGGCCCTCAGTGATTCGGCCCCAAGCTTCCTTTCTCAGCCGTGTTACCACTTTGCCTAGAGGCACTCTCTTCTTCCTACTCAACATACAGCCTCCCTCCCTCTCCCTTCTCCTTCAGTCCCTCTCTCGAGCGAGGTGGCACAGAGGTGGAAAGAAGTCACTTCTCATTTTTAGGCCTCAGTTTCCTCTTCTGTACAATGAGGCGGCTGAACTAGAGATGGCTTCTGAGGCAGCTCCCAGCTCCAAATCTAAGATCCTAAGAATATGGCCCTGCGATGAGACTACCTGAAATTGTTCGTTTTGGGCTAGACTCATTCCCTGCCCTGGAACAGAAGCTCCTGGGGGCAGAGACACGGTCCCATATATCTCCGAGCATGCCTTAGGTTCTTCTTGTCCAGGGCCAGGACTGAGCGAACGGCTTGCTAGTCAATCAGTCGGCCTGCCTTAGAATCAATCCCCTCCCAGGACACATTTTCACCCCGTAAGCCTGTATGAATACATTGTAACTCACATAAGGTCTAACTCTTGGGCAGAACTGTCAGCTCGCACATACTTCCACCCATCATATACAATTACACAAATCACATACCCCGAGTCATAGGCGAGTGTGTGATGGGATCCCGTTTGTACACACAGTATTCTGTCCTTCAAAAACCAATCTGCGCCTCCTTCCCAAGCACCCAGTGTAGACGCTATCTTTGTGGGCTTGGGTTTGGGCTTGGGACACTTTGTGTCTCTGAGACTCAGTTTCTTCCTCTGTAAAGTGGAAACTGGCCCATCTGCTTCCTAAGGTGGTGGGGATATTCAAAGTCTCCCCACCAGCCCAGTGCCCTGCCCACGTGCTCCATTGTTTAGAGAAGGCAGAGGCAGTTGGGGATGGGGCAGCACCCCTGCTCTCCAGCTTTCCTCCTCCACGGACGGGCGGAGGGGCGCATCTAAGTCCTTCTCTCTTAGCCCCAAGTCCGGGAGACTGGGGTGGGGGGAGTCTGGGGAGGAAGACAGCAGGTTCAGGGTTTCTCCTGCCCCTCGGGGGTCCCTGGCTCATCCTGCGGCTTCGGCCCCTAGACTAGGTCAGAGGAAGCCGTCCCCCACCCCCGCCCTCCATCCTCAGGGAAAGAGGCGGCCTGCGCTGGCCGTTCACTGCCGGACTCCGGGAGTGCTGCCCGGTCCGCCCGGCGGCTCGGCTCGGCGGGGTCGCCGTGATTGGGAGCGCCGTCCCGGGCTGGCAGGGCGGGGGAGCTCTCCTCAGTTTCCTTCCCTCCCCTGCCCTGCCGCTGGGTGCGCTGTCTCTTTAAATGCTGCCGCCGCCGCCGCCGCGGAGGCTGCTCCAGGCTCGCCCCAGCCGCCGCGGCAGCTCCAGCAGGAGCAGCAGCTTGTTGATTTCGCGGCTGGTGAATTTCGCGGCTGGTGAATTTCGCGGCTGGTGAATTTCGCCGGCTGGTGAATTTCGCCGGCTGCAGACTGCACTTTCCCGGCGCAGGAGCCGGGCGGGCGGGAGGACGCTGGGGCCGCGGCGGAGGCCAGGGCCCGGACTCCCGCTGCTGCTGCTGCCGTTGCCGCCGCCGCCGCCGCCTGGCTGCGGGCTCCGGGAGGCGCGGAGCGGCACGATCCCCTCGGGCAGGCTCGGGGCCGGGGCGACCCTCGCCCACTTGCACGCTTGCTTACACGCGCACGCCGCAGCTCAGCCCGCGTCGGGAGCTCGGCTCGGGCCCCGGCGGGCAGCCCGGAGTGCGCGGGAGGGAGGCTGAGGCTGAGCCGCCGCCCGCCCGCGCCACGTCCAGGGAGCGGCCCAAGGCCGGGGCTGGGGTCGGGGCCGGGCCGGGCCAGGGGCGGTGGAGCTCCTTGCTCGCAGATTCCGGGGCATTTTGTATGAAGATGGCGGCTCCCGTGGCCAGCAAGACAGGCTCGGGCTCGGGCTCGGGCTCGGGCTCGGGCGGCCACAAGCCCGCCTTCCCGGAGCTGGATTTCCGATCGGGGGCGCGCATCGAAGAGCTGAACAAACTCATCCAGGAATTCAGCAAGCACGAGCAGCGAGAGTACGACGACCAGAGGGCCCTGGAGATCCACACGGCCAAGGACTTCATCTTCTCCATGCTAGGTACGGAACCGGGAGGGGGCGCGAGTGCCGGGGAGGGCGTGTGTGTGCGTGCGTGTGTGCCCGGGAGGGCGTGTGTGTGTATGTGTGCCTGCCTAAGTGTGTGTATGTGTGCGTGTGTGTGTATGTGTGTGTATATGTGTGTGTGTGTGCCTGCCCGGGAGAGTGTGTGTGTATGTGTGTGTATATGTGTGTGTGTGTGTGTGCGTGCCTGTGCGCGCGAGTCTCCGCTGCCCGACCGCCTCTCCCCTTCCCGGACTAGTCGCCTACAATGTAGCCTGTGTCTCTTCCTCCGTCCTGTGGCGCCAGCTGAGTGGGAGGCTGCCCACCCCAGTCATTGAGCACTGGATCCCTTCCCCCGCCGCACCCCTTTGTGAACCCCGCTCTCCCCAGGGTCAGCTACCCGGCCGAGTGAGGTGTTTGAACCCACCCTTCGGCAAAGAAGGCTCTAGGGTGTCAGACGGGGCTGGGCTCGACCCGGCTGAGTCGGGCTGGGCTTCGAGCCGACTGCGTTGGGTTGGAACCGCCGTTAGGCGGGCCCGGGCTCGGGGCTATGCCGGCCTGGAGGGTGGTGGCTGTGAGGAAAGGGGCTTGGGGCGCTGCGTAGCGACCAGTTGCTCATGGAGTCCTGGGGCGCTGGTGCGAGAAAGGCATCTGTTAGCGGGCCTCTGGGACCAATGTTGCAAGTACGGTTGATTTGTGTGAGTAGATGTAAGCAAGAGCCCTGAGTGGACCGTCCGGGGCTTTGAGGAACAGAGGCCCGTCTTTTCTGTGATCTCCGGGTGTCTGCTGGCCTGAAAGTTAGCAGCTAAAGATGAGAAGGTGACTCAGCCCTGAAGTATGTCCTCTAAGCTTGGACCCTGGCCGGGGCAAGGGAGCGAGACATGTGAGACTGGACCCAGGGACTCCGGTCCTCCAGCCCAGCCTCTTAGCCATGAAAATTGTGGCTTGTCGGGGGTGGAAGAGGGTGTTCCTGGGTCTAACCCTGGCACAGATCTGGGTGGGGGTGTGAAGTGTTTACTGAGTGCAGGGTGCTGGCATTCTGCAGCAACGGGCAGGGTGAGTGGGTCAGGCAGAGATGGGAGGGATGGGCATAACTGGGCTGTAGGGCTTCCCTGACGTGAACCCTCTGCGGTGGGTTGTCCTGATGAACCTCAGAGCAGAGCGCTCTGAAGGGCTGGCGGCTTACCTGGCCCCCAGATCTACCACTTCCAGCAGCAGTAGCCCTCAACCTCTCCTAGATGCTGAACTGCCCCGGCTCTGAGATTCATTCATTCATTCATTCATTCATATTCCTATCAGTTAACTCTTTTTCCTCCTGACTACGGCTCCAGACCAGAAAGACAGTACAATCTAAACAGCACAATAGGAATTACATATACAGGGATAATTACACATCTGCAGCTTTAATAATTTGGATGACGGGATCTCTGGCACACAGCTACCTCCTTCTGCCTTTATTTCTTTAGACAGAGAGCTGTAGTGGAAATGAACAAGCACTGATTAAGCTTTCTGGGTGTCAAGCCCTGCCCTGGGTGTGGAATCTGAACCCTGTGTTTGAATCTGGACTCTGCCCTGCTTTACCTGTTCGACCTTGGGCAAATCCAATCAGCTCTCTGGGCCTGTTTCCTCCTCTGTAAAATGAGAGGGGGTGATGACACCCCAGGTGGCTTCTAGCTCCCTAGCTCTTACCAGGACCTTGCATGTTATGAACTGGCCCCAGCTGTGTTTGGGAAATAGATGCTGTTGTTCTTTTATCTTCTAGAGTATTTTGAAGACCCAGTTGTCTTAAACACACACATAAACTCTCAGAGGAGTGAAAACCTTGGGAGGATTTGTCTGGTCCCAGGACACCTGTAGATTATTTCTCTGTCTGGAAGGTGGGAGCCCATGGGTGCGCATGGCTCAGTATAGGTTGTTTACATAGTTTTGATTCCTCATCTCTTCCTCTCTCACGCCTGTTGCCCCACCAGAGGCATTGCAACATTCACCTGAGTCCTTAGTGTCTCCAGCCTGTGCTTTCCAGGTGTGTGCAAGGGTGTGACCCTTAGCTCCTGGCTAGTAGCAGCCGCTCCATCCCAGAGAGCTGGCTGTCCATGCAGCCTGGGGAGCTCTGGCCTCTCAGCCACAGCTTGTGAGGATTCAGGGGAGGGGGCATCATGCTCGCTGGAGGTGGTCCAGAAATCAGCTACATGAAAACACCAGGGATTCCTGCATTCGTTCCCTCCTTCACTCATGAGGACACGTTCTTGTAGCTTCCCAGAAAGCTCCAGAGAGCCTTTGTTTTTCAGGAAACTTGTCCCTTGCTGCTGTGGTAGGGGCTGCATATTCGATTAAGGGGTGACTCAAGCAGCAGTATTAGCTTTCATTCATGGTTAGCTGCTGTTTTCTGCCTATCATGATTGGAGAGGTCACTGCTCAGCCAGGACAGACTAGAAACATTGGGAGGGGAGGGGAGTGGGTTGGGAAGTGAGGGTGCCGAGGCTGGTTTCTTCAGATGGACACTGATGGACATTCCCTTCCCCGCTCTGAAGGGCGGCCACTTCCCTAAAGGAGGGAAGTGTTGGGGATGCCTTCGAGCTTTGAATAAGAATAAGAGTCGTTTGAACAAGAAAAATTTTCTGTCTCTATGTCCTTGATTCCCCCCCCCCCCCCCCCAAAATGTCAATAGGGAACTTCTCCAGCTGAGGCCGCCACACAGGTCAGGAAGGCCTGTACTGGGCCTCAAATGCTCCCTCTTCTTCCCCATGAAACTATGGGCTTCTCAGGGGCAGGACTGGCTAGCTCAGTGGCACACAGCAGGTGCTTAATAAATGCTATTCAATGCCTAATCCTTGTGTGCAGGACACCGCAACGTATGGAAGGAATGGCTGCGGCTGGAGCTCAAGAGGTCACTGAGTCACAGATCTGATAGAGCTGTCACAGACCTCAGAGGCCACTAGTCTAGCCCTCTCTTTTTCAGTAGAGGGGACTGAAGCTCTGGAGAGATTAACTGCTCTGCCCAATGCCACATAGATAGTGTAAGATGTTGGATTTGAACCCAGGTTCTCTGACTCCAGAGTCAGTACTTTTCCTCTAACGTGGATAAAACTGGCTTCGGGCCAAGGGTCCATCACTGGGCTGAGGGTGAGAGCTGCCTCGTAAGAGGAAATATTAGCTCTCATTATTTCAAAGTGCTTTCCGTGTTTGCATATCTGAATTCTGTTGCCACCTGTCACACTGTTCTGGTGGGCTTGAGTCTGGGTCCTGGATACTTGGGTATTTTCTGGATCTTCCTCCCTTCCCCAGCTTCTTAGGCAGCTTTACCTGAAGTAGCTAAAGGCTTCCTGGAGAGTAGGGGTCTTTAATCACCATGGTGTTCTGATCAGACCACTTTTAGTGGCTTTTCAGACCAGTGACTGAGGAAAATCTATCTCTCTCTACTCCCCACAACTTCTACAATCAGAGAGGCAATAAACATTTGTGAAGTGCCTACTGCATGCCAGGAACTGTGCTAAACGCTGGGAATCAGAGAAAGGCAAACGAAAGTCCCTGCCCCTGTGGAGCTCTAATGGGGAGGGAGAACCAGCAAACACAGTTGTATAAACAAGCTATACACAGGATAAATGGGAAAGAATTAATAGAGAAGACACTAGAATTAAGAGAGGTTGGGAAAGGCTTCCCATAGAAGATGGGGTTTTAGTTGGGATTGAAAGGCAAACCAGGAGGCAGAGATGAGGAGAGAGAGCGTGTGGAGGGGTCTTCCAGAGAAAATGCCTGCAGCTGAGAGATGGAGTGCTCCTGAGAGTCACAGCATCACACCATCAGAATGATGTGAAATATCCTCAGCCAGTGGATAGCTCCCTTGTGCTGCCTTGACTGATGACCTGTGTAACTTTCCTCTATATGACATTATCTCATCTGATCAGCCTCTGGGACTTACTAGCTAGCTGTGTGCCTGTGAGAAAGATCCTGACCCTCTCTGAGACTGTTTGCTTATCTGTCAGATGGGGAGAATACTACTTGATAGAGCTGCCATGGGGTTGGAATGAGATTATGTCTCCAAAGTACTTTGCAAAACTTAGGGCTTTACATAAATATCAGAAGTGGCTGCATGTGGTGGGAAAAACCAAAACCCCAAAACAAACCAACCAAAAAAACCCAAAACAAAACAAAAAAAGAAATCCCAGTTTTGGATCCTGGTCAAATTTGGCTCCAGATCTGACCTCAGGCAAGTCACTTAGCCTCAAACATGGCATGTGTGTCCATGCTCTCGAGAGCCCCACCCCCCCCAGCTGAAATCTCTCATTTTGTGATCTTTTTTGTTCATTGGAGAGGCTCATGTGGAGGACCCAGAGACCTTCTGATTGGATCAATCAGTAAGCATTTATTAGGCACCTGCTGGGTTTCAGTCAAGGGCTATATATGGAGAATGCAAGGACAAATTACAAAGGCCCAGTTCTGTCCTCAGAGAGATTACATGCTGCAGAGATACTATGTGAGATTAACAGATAAGTACAATAAATAAGGGATACAGTAAATGAATAAAGTAAATAAAGATTTATGTTGAATAGAAATAAGATGAGCCAGTCAGGGCTGTGGGAGTGGGGAATAATCTGTGTATTTGGTTGTTTGATTTGAAAGTTAAATTGGAAAGAGGAGTCTGGAGGCTGAGATGCTCATTAAGAGGCTCGTTGTCTAGGGGAAAGAGAACGCCGAGGGCTGCTGCCCTCCTTCTACCTGAGTGGTTTGGAGACCATTGGAGGGATATACTAGTTTGGCTCCCCCAGGTGAACTCCCTTCATTTCTTCACCATCTTGGTGCTTTATGAGAATGATTATTGTTATTACCTTGTTAATATTTGAGAGCTCAGCATGCGGGAGAGATTGTGAAGAGCATAATAAATGCAGTTTGTCAAAATTCAAGGAAATTGTCAGAGTTCATTAATGTTTTAATATTTGGTACTCGCCGAATGTCTTCGCCAGCTCTTTTGTCTTTGTCCCTCCTTGGTAAGTAGGCTGGGG